GGTGTGTATCCTCTCCTGCCACCTCGAGCTTCGCTTTTCTAAACTAAACAAAACAAAAGCCTTCAGCTGGTCCCGGTAGGCCGTATGCGGGTCTCGAGGGGTCTCTCCAGTTCGGATATCCTGCCGTGCCGAAGCCCCGAGCGCCGCAGCGTGTGTGGCATTCCCGCCGCGCGATGCCCCGCGGACGCGTTTGCCTCCGCGCTAGCCTGACCCCGTCCTCCTAAACCTGAGATGCTGTCAGGCAGTACCCCCTCGCTTACTCCCCGTTCGGTATTTTTATTTGCCCGTGGGCTTTCTGCTTGTATTGAGTTTCATCTTGTTGAGCCCCTCCGGTCTATCCCGATTTCTCCAGGTCATTTTCAGTTCTTGCCCTGCATCTTCCAAAGCGGTTGCAACGGCTCCCAACGTGGCGGTGCTGGCGGTGCTGGTGGCGGTGCCTGAGAATTTTGTGAGTTCGCTCTCCGTTGGTCACTTGCCAAATCGACTCTTCTCTGAATATTTCTGCGTTCGTGTGTCAGACCTTACAAAATTTGAGTTAAGCGTTTTGTGCAAGGCCCTCCTCTCTGATAGACCCAGCTTTCTGACGGTGGGTGTGACTACAGGAGTTAAGACTGTTAATCTCTCACGATGAGGATCGCGTAATACGCACATATATAATGGCGGTTGGAACTAGAACAGAGGACTGTGGACTAGAAAATGCTACTTTCTCATACTGCTGGCAAGGAAACATATTTTCCCCAGTAATAGAAACCATAAGACTGACCTTTTTTTGTGTCTCCAGTTATTTTGCATGTACATAGAAGTACAGGAAAAGGTATGGTATAATTAGAGTATGGTTATTTTTCTATGCTATGTCTAGCACAGATGATTTTGTATACTTTGAAAGGAGTACAGTTGATTTAGCAAAGATACAGCTGGAAATGCTAAACAGTGCGGTATGCAAAGAATATTTAAAGGTGCCAGGCACAGCAACTGGAACCAAGAACACCTAGAATTCTCCATATCGCTCAGAGATATATCAGTCCTTAACCTTTATTATGATTTGCAGCCGTCATTACAGCTAATGCGTACAATTTAGGAAAAACACACATCTTTCCCAATAAAGGATGCCTTAGTTAACCTATGACTCTAGATGCAAACTATGAGTAAGAAATACCAAAGGCAGAAGATTATTGCATATTGACAAAAGTCATTTAATGTACCTGATAAATATTAAAAGCAATTGGAAGAAGCAATGGAACATTTTCTTTGGAAAATACTGTATTGCATGCATATTGATATCTGGTTGACCCAGGCTTAGCTGAATGTGCAACATCTGTAGGGATCAGTCTTGAAAAGGCTTAAGAAGGTGCTTGAATTTAAATATGCAAATAGGAATTATTTGTATGCTTACGGCTGATTATTTCCTTAAATCTTTGTAAAACCAGGGCCGTAGCTGGCTATAAAAGATTAGGCAATATACAACATGCATAACATTTTATTTAAATAATTGAATATTACAGTGGATTTGAATTTATTTTTCAGTTAAAAGATTGCTTGTCTTGAGTTGCTAGCTCACATGTCACAATATTTATTAAGCAAAATATTATTTATATGCAACTATTTTAACTGTAGACATTTAACAATTAGCTGTACATTGAACTTAGGAGTACTTCATGTAAGGAGAGTTTAATGGATTTCAGGAAGGAAGTCTTCACACATCTTCTTCCCTAGGGGGAAAAAAGATTTTTGTTTAAACTTTTTTTTTTGTACTGAGAAAAAAATGTTAGAAAAACAAGTATATGGGGAAGCTATCACTGTCCTGCTAAAGAAATACACACAATATATACAACGGACTGAAGCAATTATTTTTCCCTTTTTCCCTTTTGTACAAAACATTCTTGTCAGTTTCTTACTTTCTGCTTTCATTATACTTTCATGTACCCCGATCCTTGGGCAAACTGAACAATTGATTGTTGTACAAATTGTGATGTGCAAATTAATGCAATTTACTTTTCTCTGGTGTAAGATGGCTACAGAAGGTAGGTTGCGCAGGAGAATCAGACAAAGATTCAGGCTGAAAATCATCATCAGACTAAGAGGATTAATATTGGTATCCTTAGGCCTTGAAGACTAATCTTACATGAACCAAAAGAGTATAGATTGCCGATAACTGCGTATGAATTACAAAGAATTTTGAAGGAAAACTGTAGAGAAACTGCGCTGAGCCTTTTTTTATATGCACGTAATATTAAAAAATTTGTACTTTTTAATATACATGTAATTTCATCAATATAAACCTAATCAAAGTTCATGGTAAAGCTTACATTCTATGGTGGAATCTCTCTTGCGGGAGAGATTCCTGTCATCTTGTTCAAAGATTGTGAGTCTGATCTCAGAAGATTAAAGATAGTCAATTAAAAAACAGTGAAATTTTCTTTTATTCATTTATTTTGTTAATGTTGGATCCTTTTTATATGTCTTCGGAGACTTTTGTGTCCATTCAGGTCATGTTTCTTCTGTTTGTTTGCTGAGACAAGGAGGTCAGGCACCCACGACCTAAAAAGGAGCCTTTCTTCAAATCCAGTAACTCCTCAGAAGATCAGTGGGGCACTGCCGTGATTTGCCCGTACGTATTACACCTGTTACAGCTTTGTCCCCTTCTGTGAGAATCTGAAGCCACTGGAGCTGTGCTTCTGGGAGCCCCACTGGCTAGTCCCAGAGCAGAGGAATGCCTCTTGGAACTGTCCTGTCTTTCCTGGAGATTCTCCATGGGGTTAGAAAAAAACAAGGTATTGTTTTTCCCTGCCACTCTGGTTCTTCCCTAGTCCCTATTCCTTGCCATGCGGAGATCTCCGAGCATGGAGGCAGGCCTCTATTAGTCCCTTCTACGGAAACGATTAGAAACATGTAAGAATGATCCCTTTTATGCATGTCCCTACAAGTCACACTACACAAAATCTGTTAACAGAGCACTGTTAATCTGAGCAGAGCGCTGCTGATCTGAACATTTTATGGTAAAACTGAGCTCTTTCGAGTAATGGTGCTGATTCTGACTTTGTACTCTTTCATGGCTGAAGCTAACATAGAGCTTACCATCAAACATGACCTAAATCAAAATATAATAAATAGTGGTAATTCCAGACCGTACTTGATTAATGAATACAGGGACATGATATCCACTTCTAAAGCTCTGGTCTGTGGTTGTAAGGCAATTCTCTCATAGAATTTTTGTCATTACATTAGCTCATCCCAGATGTTAGTTAAAGGTCAAGGGTTTCACGTTTAAACGTGTAGTCTTTTAATATTATCATGTCTGTATTTTGCAGGCTAAAACATTGAGCATTTATTTTTGTTTTCCATAACACTTTTATCTCTCTCTCTCTATCAATCTGTGTGTTATTTATGAGGCGATAGTCTTGAATATACCATATCTGAATCCTGTTCCAACTAAAGTTTATTGCGATGTAAATGTCTCTTATGAAGAATTATGTTCTTTATGAAAGAAGAGAGAACTAACTTACCACTTAAAAATTCTGTTTATAAAGTTGCAATGCTTTCCCAGCTATGTATTCAACGAATTCAGCACTCTTTGGGTCTAAATCGGCAGGAACTTTAATGGTGAAAGTAGGTGAAGTCAGAATGTTGACGTCTACTACTGTTTCATTTGTACCAGAGAGATCCCCAGGTACCACCTGGAAAACAACAAATCAGTTACTTTAGATACTAGAATCTGATGTACTATCAGTTTTCTTTATATCTACTGTGCCTACCATTTTTAATAAGGAAAAATTACATAGAAGATTATTTTAAACTTGTCTACCTCCTTAAAATTACTTTCTTCTGAGAAGGCAGCACGTATCTGGATTCATGCCCAAATTTATCGTAGGCTGTGCGAAGAGGTGACATGGCACTGCAAGACCGTGTTGAAGATCTGCATGTTTAATATTTATACCACAAACTACGCTTATAAAGACCTTCTAATCTCGTAATGAAAACTTGTTTGTGAGTTGTCCCACTATTTTCAACAGAAAGGTTGTGTGATTTAAGTTATTGATTCTTTGCGTTTTTCTAAACCAATCTTAGTTCTAGATCTTTATTTTTCCAAAGTAGATAACTTGGATTCAGTTGGGAAGATGTGCTTAAATATTGCCTATCCCTGTGTTCCTGATTTTGCAGTGCTTTTTTGATGGCTTGCACAGTCATTTCATATAAAGTTCTTATAGTAATAGCAGTAAACTGGATTTCTGAGTTGGGAGGGAGAATAGGATTTGTCCTGAGTCCAGTAAAATTAAGGGAATTTACCATGGATGTGTTCTTGTGTGTGAAATATAGTTAACCATGATGTATTTACTGGAATAATGACAGATGCTGTTTATGATATGCAGCTTCCACTGCGATAACCTGTATAACATTTGTTTTCTTGGAACTCTGGAATATATAAGTACAGATATAGACATTTAGGTATCTATTCAATGTTCTAATAAGGATATATTACTGATTGGCCCGGTGCAAATTATCAAGGAAGGTAATCTGAGGCCAGTTAAACCTGCCAGTATCAATTTACTTAGGTTAGACAATGATTCAGGTTAGCCTATCAAGCATTCATCAGACTAAAAGCATTTAGAGGAAAATAGTTTCTAATCTCTGGAGTTTCAGTTTATCAAGGGATTATCAAGCATATGTAAATTCAGCCTGAGTAGGAACTTTAGGTTCTAAAGACCAGAAATTACACATACACAAGCATTCACAATCCGCAAAAGCTAAGTATGAGCAAAGCGCACATTCAGGGCAGCATTGTGCAATAGATCCTTTTGGTAGATAACCTTTACCTTAACTATATTGAAAATGTTTTCTGGTCCGATGGTCATATTGGATAATTCAGACACCCACCCAAATCTTTCTTTCATTTTGCTCAACAAGTAGGAAGTGTCTTCTGTATGACGCTGAACCATCTGGAGAATCTGCTCATACTGCTCACCCGAGAGATTAACCAGCTTAAAGGCTTCATCAAACTTGATGTGCAGTTCAGGAACGTTTGGGCAATCTGTTTAGAAAGACAACCAGCATGAAGATTATAGGGATGTATTATGTCTGGCACTTGATCTTTTCTATCTGAAGCATAGAGACCTAAGAAGTATTTTAAAAAAATCTAGCAAGGGAGTGTATTTTTGGTTTGGTGTTTAAATAACGCTAACAGAAAAAAGAGTAATTCTTACTGACCCATTTTGGTGGATTTAGTTTAGGTCATAGTGACTAAATAGACTAATTATTCCATTTGCTGTATTACAATGATTTACCAAGTAATTTAAGGTTTATGTCATATTTCATAGCAATTGATTTTCTGGTATGCTAAATAAGAACTGGTGGTTATTACATATAGCAACTTCTTAATCTCCTTATACGTTATCTTTTTTTTTTTTTTTTTTTTTTTTGCTGATATTCCTTTATCGGTCTATCCCAAGTATGTAGGTTTTACAGGAAAGCCTGTAGTATATGTTGTTAGCATTGCGGTTGAGCTCTAAGGCTTACAGTTTACTCTATCTAACTAGACATTAGTGTATGACTAGCAACATCTGCTGTGAATTCAGAACTGAAGATTGCTGTTTTTTCTCTACAAAAATAGGGATTTAAAGAAGAACATTATATTATTCCTACAGGAAAATTGTCATGGACACATTCGATTTAATTCTCTTTCAAATGGCACTATCAAGGGACACCTTCAGGTTGATAGTACAGTGTGTGCACTGCTTTGTGTAATACACAGCTATAGAAGAAAGATATTTTTAGTGAGATGGAAATGATTTGATACTCTTTTCAAAATGTGTCATTGGATCATTAACATTTGCCACACTGGAGGCATACTGAAGGTATTTGATAAGGACACACTGTGGCTTTGGAGACATAACTAATTCTGAAAGCAGCAGACATCTTGTGCTGTGGCAGGAGTCCTGAGAGCAGTTCTAGGTGATGCAGTCTGACCTCTTTCCAGGTGCCTGTGGAGACCGTATGCCAGAACTATGCCTTCTTTGTACATATCGACAAACACTCCCCTTTTTGCTCTTCAGTCAACCTTATTTGTTGTCATGGTTCGACAACGAGGCATACAGGCTATGCAGCCCTTGCTTTCCTTTTGAGGAGCTGAACGCTGTCTGACGGTAGGTCTGGTTTTCTGCAGGAATACATCAGGAGTTTTAGCTTCTCCTCGCTTTCTGCTCAGCACTTCTGCACCAGGCAGGATCAATTACTATCTGACCTCCTGCTCCTCTGTAGGATGGGATCTCAAACAAAACATATAGATACTTTGTTATGGAGTCTAGAACTTCTCCCTTTGGGCCTACAGGAATATGTTAACAACTGGGTTATACTGACACTATGTGGAGACAGTGGGGAAAGGTAGTTGAAATCATCTGGAATGACTAATAGCATTTGAATCCATAGTTAAATTAAACATTCAGCAGCTGAAAGTTAATTCCAAAATGTGGAAAGAGCACAGTGGAAAATGAGAGCATCAAAATCTACAAAAGAATGACCAATGTATTACAGAAATAAGTGAGAAGATAACTATTTACCATGCAAAAGATTGTCTTGACATTTCTGACATTTCTCATGGAACTGTAGGCATCCTGATGAATTCTCACGAAGCTCTTTGCACGAAGTTCTTTGACGCCCAGATATAATTTTCGAGAACATGCCACTTCTGTCAGAATCTAGAATGAAGGTACAGTATTTTTAGAATGACACCAAGCTTAAGATCTTGCTAAATTTACTCGTTTGTTGCCTACCCTTTGTATTAGAATATAACTTCTTGGCCTGAATCCAAAATATCTGGCATAAATCTAAAATAATATATATTAAAATGTTGAAAAGTAGCAGTCAAGAGAAGATACAAATCATGTTTTCTTTGAAGGAATTCATGTCACTATAGTATATTCCCTTTTAAAGCCATACTAACATATTCCCCACTAATAGGCAAGCGATTACTAATATTATTACACATTATTTCCACAACATATGAGTTCTGATGAGACCTTTTTGATCCTTAGAAGTCAAGATGTTTCCATCATGTGCTGCTAGATGAGAGCACAGCACCAAAGCTCATTACTGAGGTAACATCAGTCATGATGCAGGAAAAATTAAAAATCACTGTTGTAGAATAGCTTAGCTTTGTATTTTCTGCCTGCCGTATAGGTAGATTATATCACCTACCACTCAGAATTATTGCATACCAGGCACCAGCATATATTTTAATGATGATTGTTTTTCCATTTTCATTAGTAAGATATGAAGAATAAAGTTTATGTGTATTCTCAGAGTTGGCCAAGGAGTAAATGTTTCTTCCATCCATTGAGAGTTATCACCTCAAACCAAAGGTATGCCCAGATTTTGTCTTGTTATTGAAAAAATCTAATGACTGATTTGTATTTGATTGGTACATGACTTTGCTGCAATAGCTTAGACCAGGGCTTGCAGCTGACTAATGTTTAATGTCATTTGGCAAGGACAGAGATATGCCTTGACATCTCACAGAATTATCCTATTTTTTTCAAATTGGAGACATGCCAATATGATATGATACATGTCTTCCTGACCAGTGCTGAGATCAGATCTGTCAGTCAACCTTATGAAAACCTACATCTGTCATGAATTCAAGAGCTTCTGAGGAACTCCTGAAAATGCATTGGGAATTGTTGTGAGAATCTGGCTGTGTAGGACCAGTAAGTCTCAGCGCGACATTTCTAGGAGATTTCCAAGAGATTTCTGCCTTTTAATTTAACTAATAAAGTTATGCTTCACCCATGCCTGTTTAACCAAGAAAGCTTCCACAGGATCCACAATATATCTTACACTAATGTACCACAAACTGAGTCATTAGGCATAGCTTAGCAATCCTGTGAAGTTTGATGTCGTTGACAGTGAGGTTTATTTTCATGTCTTCCAATACTTGCCTTTGACTTGTTCTGCCAAATCTCTTCTGTTATCTGTGTATCCATCGAATACTTCAGTAATTGCCTCACTGACACCTTCGAAGACTGTCTTACTGAAATCAAAAACTATCTGTAAGAAGCCAGGTAGACCCCAGTCTTTCTGTACGCCAACGTTTCTGTTAGTATCCTCAGGGAAAGCAGACGTGCTGGAGGACTCATTTAAATCCAGATCAGACATGAAATATGTTTGAAAAGACTGGTCAAATTCTTTTTGCATATGCTTGAAAAAAACAAAACTTCTGTCAAATATTGAGCCCATGTCCGATAGTAGCTGGCTAAATAAATCTTCCATTTTTACTAGCTGGGTATCCTCTTTCTCAGGCCTTTCATTAAACTGGATGTCTTTTCCTTTATCCTCATGAAACGTAAATATAAGTGTAGGTATTTTCCTCAAAAAATCTTCAACCTGTGTGTAAGAGAGAGATCAGCTGCCAAACAATTTATCAGTTTTTCATCTCTCAGGGAAGTGGCTCTAAATATATTTTTTCAAATACATATAAAATTAATGCACTTTCAATACCGGAAGTACAAATCACAGCATATTCTCTAAAGTAACTTAAGACATTAGACTCTAACAGTGTGGAAGTACATTTAATCCAAATCACTCGCTCCAAATCAGATCTGGAGTAGAAGGGTTGCCAATTGGCCTTTAATCTGTTGAGGCTCAAAGTTAGTATTGGCATGTGGGTTTTATCCAGCAAACAATTTGGACTTTATCTTGGAAAGTTTCTGTGGTAATTATGTGGTAGTGTGGAGAACAGAAGGCAATTGTTCTCGCTCTAATGTGCAGACGCCCCAGCCTCTCTCGCCAATGGCCAAGTGCTCGAATTCTTGTGCAAACTGAAACCAATTAAAATCAATGAAACAGTGGCTCTGAGTCCATGGTATGATGATGCAAGAGTTTTACTGACAATTCTGCTTTTGCTTTATGGATTTCCCCTTCCTTAGGTCTGAGCCACTCGTTCCCTGCTTCCTGCTTTAACATGCTGCCTACACCTGAGTGTATACAATGCTTTGTGGAGCCGCACTGTTTGTGGCATTAGGAAACTGGTAAGTGTTCAGAAACACATTGTGAAATAAGTAGGTGTGTGTGTGTATGTGTGTGTATATTTTTGCAAAAATTAAAAAAAAGAATCAGATCATATACGTGATCTGATCCATAGTGCAGCGCTCACGTTGACAGATATTTTGGCAGAACTAAGGGAAAGGTAGATTGTGAAGCTACCCTGCAGAAACAGCTTACGCCAGTATTGCCCTGATGGCTCTATATCATCAGCCACAGCTATTGTCTTTGTCCTCTTTTTTTTTTTTTTTAAACAATTTAGGTCCAAACATATTTCTTACTTCAAACTGAAGAAATGAATACTTCAATTAAACCACACAGCTCATTGACAAAATTATTGAGAGGGTCAAAGGCAGTGCAGTATATATGCCTTACTGCAATGATTTCAACCTGACATTCACAAGCCCCTGAAAATCCAAGGGATACTTCTGAGGGATGCGTGAAAGGTATCTAAAAAGCCAAAAGTATCACCAATAGGCTTAGATTTAATGCATTCCACACTTCTGTTTGAATAATTTTAGGAATATGCACAAATGTTGAGCACCTTTGTTCCAAGATCTGTCATTTTTGAAATATACCATGTTTCAGCTTTAAGTTCTTATCTTACAGTGCCAATGATACCAAATTTGCTTATTTTAGCTAGGAAATAGTAAAGAGTAGTGCTGTAAACTTGCCTGAGGATGTGAAAGCTAGGTAGCCAAGGTAAAATTTCAGTAAGAGTAATTGTGCAGGATCTGTAGATAAGCTGCAGTTAAAGCATATGCCCCCTCCCAAATGCGACTGCAGTTTTGTTAAATCTTTTAGTGAAAATGTACAAGCCAGAAAAGCATATCTTCTTTCTGGTAGAATTGCTAACCGTTTCCTCTGTTAACAGCAGTGAAACATGTTAAAGCTATTTTGTTGTTTAAAGAGTAAATATGAAATAAAATAAATACAGGAAAGACTGATGTTGTATATGTAGGTGAATTTTTTTCCTTGGAATTTTGCTAAGTGTATCTACACTTCTAACTCTGCTGTTTTTCAGAAGGGAATGAATCTGTGTGATATTTTTCACAAATAAGTTATTAAGCATCTTAATGCAAGTCGCACTGTGAGATGTATCATTGTATATGTGGAGTTGACTCTACTGGAGTCAGGGGAATAATCAATTTCCATGGAGTCACACTAGAGTGCAACAGAACTGATTTTGGCTCAGTGTTCAGTGAATAAAGTCAAATGTAATCTGTTCCATATAACTTCACGTTTCCAGACCCCCAAATCAAATTCATCTTGATAACATCGTATAAATGACAGAGTTGGCTATTGAATGTTAAACTGTTAGATGCATTCAAGATTATTTCCCAGTACAAAATTTTTCCCTACCTTTCTTTTAAATGTTGATAAACCATGTCTGCAAGTTGTATAAAATCTCATGCAGGAACTTTCTAAACAGGATTTACATTCATCCCATACATTTTGCAAGGATACTTGACAATGTTTTTCTTCTTCCTCTAATCTTTGCTTTACCTCATCCATAAGTCGCAGAGCTTCCTAAATAAGAAAAAATATCAGTTCATGGCTGCTCTCAGATTAGTATTCCAAATACTTACTCCAGGGTGGATCACCCATTCTGGCTATTCACGGTTCCTTTTTTTAACCCCTAACCATGGGCAGGTTGTTTCCTCAGCTACAATTGCATATGGAAGGAACTGAAAATTGAAAAATTGCTCCTATTCATACAGTTTTTCTGATGTCTTTCTCAGAGAGGACAGCCTAAAAAACCTAAAAAACAGATCTCTACAGCATACCTAGATCTTTGAGGATAAGAAGAGACCACAAGGCTTTCTGTGCAAGGAGCGTTTAGCCCCTCAGCTAAATGCTGGGATCGTGTGCACAACTCTCATCTTTTTCCCTGTATCATATCTGCAGTGTTCATCTATTCCACAAATACCCCTTTTTTGCTGCTTTTCTCTATTTTGTTTAATGTGCCAATATTTCGTGAGGCTAAGTCCTTGCCATACGTAAATTCTTTCTCTAATTCAGAAATATGTAAAAATTTCCCTTGCTTTGGATTGTGCTAAACAGAAGATGGTAGTGAGGGGATTTCTTCCTGACCATGTGAAAATGTGAGGCACTCCTTCCATGCTGAAGGGGGACAGGATGCATTTTGCAATCTTCTTCTAATTACTAGATCATTCTTCACTAGCTAGGGCACAAAGCCAGTCAGTGAAGAGGTATTAAAACAGACTTAACAATGTAAAAGACAGAAAAGTTCTTCCCGTGAAAGTAGATTGGGCATCATGAACTTCTTTCTGCAAGTAACATATTTTAATACCTTTAAGTCGGCGAATGTTTGTAAGTATGACAAAAACCTTTTAATTTGTCTTGTTCCTTTCTGGCAGCATTTCATTTCAGTGGAGAAACAGAAAAGAAAACTGCTGTCAGAGCGTGCTTAGTGGCGATAGTAATTCTGGTACTCATAGTCCAAGTTTAATTATTTTTTTGCTCTTTCTACATAAAGCTATTCAGTGCTTTACAAACCCTTCTGTTAGGGAATAAGTTCTGTGTAAATAAAGTCATCCGGTCAAAACTAACAACAGAGAAGATAATGAGAGTATACTGGTATTCCTAAAGATGTTAGAAAGCTATCAGGTACCTTTTTGGCTTGCTAATACATATAGTTTAAAGATGTGGGCTCAAGGTGAAATTTTCCATCAAGTTCAGTGAAAGTAATAGTTATTATCTTCTAATCTGTTCTGAAATATAGCTTACACTCTACTTCTCAGGATCATTGGCGCACATTGCATTGAGCCTGTGCGTTGTAATAGTACATTAGCAATTCCCTTGATCCCCTGTACTTTCTCTGCAGCACATGATAATTTGTGGGTTTTGATCTTTTCTCTGAAGGTCTAAAGTTTGTAAAGCAAGCTGGGAAGCATTCTGTGGCCTGTGGCCCATAGCATAAGGGCATGTGGAGCAGAGCTGCTGGACCTTCTGCACGAAATACCTTCTGTACAGTTACTTGCAGTTGCCTGAGTCTGAATTCAGTGAAGCAGGTGAGAAATGAGTAAAATGTGATGCTTTATTCAGAACAGTGCTATCACAGCAGATCTGGCTTGTGGATGTTACAAACTGATGTTCTCTCTCCAGAGTAAGGTTTGAATCCAAATACAGAATTTAATGGCTCCTTTTACTGCAGCACTTCCTTAATTCCACTTGGTGGTCACCATCAGCTTGACTGTGTTTTCCTGGTTACCTCACAATTGCAAGATAAAATGAGAAAGCTCAGCTCAAGGACGATGGTGTCAGATAACATGTTCTACCTCACAATTGGAAGGGGCTGAGGGAAGGTAAATTGTTAACCCAGGGTAACTCAGCTATGTTTTGTCAAGTGCTCCTCTTGTAAAATAGTTTAGACGTTCAACCACAGGGAGAAATTGGCAGTTGTGTCTTGGTTAGAAAGTTATGTTTTTGAGCAAAGACGGAAACTCTAGCTTTTGAAAGAGCAGTGTGCAATTTGGAAAAGGTAACAGTGAGGTAAGCAGTGCTTTTGTTCAATGTTTTATTCTAGTGGAATCTGGAAATTTCTGTCAGAAGTGAAGCCTCAGTATGTTAGGTCCTTTGCAAACACATGCTCTTTCTTAAGAAACTGGCAAAGATAAACTAATATTTTAACTTCTGAATTGTAAACATCCAGATTTCTGATAGGCTAGAATAGGATGTCTGTTGGTGCAACTTCTGCTTCTAGGCCACAGGGACTGAAAGGTGTATAGAGCTGCTGTGAGAGGTTTCTATGCTAGTTTCAGAAAAGAGCACAAGCAAAGATTTCATATTACTCCTGGCTTTGCTATGTGACCACATAAAAAGATGCATGCTGCTCAGAGTGCACATACAATATGTTTTACATTCTTGCAGAAAAGGGGAGACTCCAAGCGTTCTCTTCTAGATTGCTTGTTAGCCTTAGCACAATGGTGTTCAAGTTTTGATTAAAAATAGTCACAACTTAATAGAAGAAAATCAGATGCACTGCAGTTAGTTACCTTTTTTTCTTCACTGCTCTTCTTCAGGGTTTTCATCAGATCTACATGTTTATCTTCATTTCTTTCCATCATAATTTTCATCTGCTTAATACCAGTCAAAGCTTTCTTTACCTCTGCATCTACATACTTCTCTCCAACTTCAGATAATACTGAAAAAAGCCAAATAACAAAGTGACTTAATCAGATTTTGAAAGTAGCACAAATTGTCGTACACTGATGACAAAGGAAAATAAAACAGCTGTGTTTTCCTACAGTTATACGGCCAAATCTTGAGATAGTGAACGCTGAATAACATGGAGCCAAGACAATTTCCATCAGATAAGAATCTGGCCCAGAGCCTTTGCCAGTGATCAGTTGCGTGATCAGCTGACCTCCTTCAGTTTACAAGATCACAGAACAGTTGAAGTCGAAAGGGACCCCTGGAGATCGTCTTGTCCAACCCCACTGCTCAGTGCAGCGTCAACTAGAGCAGGTTGCTCGGGACCTCGTCTAGTTGGGTTTCAAATATCTCCAGGGCCTACTGTTCACTTTCCTAATGACATATCCTATATATTGATCTTCAGTCTGAAAGCAAAATATGACAATTTCCCTTAATATTTTGAAAATGTAGATTACAGGAGCCTTCAACTGTCTTTCATAAAAATATAATTTCTAGACTGCCCATGTGGCAATGACCATAGGTTTCTGGTGAAAACCTAAGTTTGCCCACACTTTGCACCCTGTAGCCCTGCATATCCTTTATCTGCACTTGTTTCCTGCGCAGAAATATCATGAATATCACTGGAACTATACAAAAGAAGTGAAAAATATGTCACAATGAGATCACTGAAGGCATCTCAAATGTCATTCATTTCTCTATTCCCATCTTTCTTCCTCTCCCCTAACTTTTTGTTTGCCAAAGAAATATTATAAAGTGGGCAGAAGCAAGGGAGTATTTCATGGCTGATCCTCTTGGGATTCCTACTCGCAAAATAAAACCATGCTCAAAGGTCAGTATATGCAGAATAGCTGCTTTCTCTAAATTAAGTCATTTTCTTTCAATTTTTGTAATAACCACCTTTTCCAGCATACCATTCTAACATAAGCATTTATAAAAGTTATTTAAATGAGCAGAATAACTCAAAATCTGTTGGATTGCATTTTGATTTAAGTTTATACTCTATAATCTATGAAGGACCAAATAGTATATGAAAATGCTATAACTGCTCTTCTGTAAAGGGAGGCTTATCAATCCTTTGACTTTCTCATCTTGGTTTTTCTTATCTTCCTGTTGTGTGTATGGATGCTTTGCTTCAGCAAAATCAGCTATAGTTTCTAAGCTTCACACATGACAGTGGATTTTCTTGACTCCAACGAGGCACCTGCATGGAACTCAGGAGTGCACTACAGCAAGCCCAACCGGAGACCTGGGCCCAGGAGCTCCCAGCAGACCACTGGTAAGAAAAGCATACATACTCTTCAGGCTTTCCCGGAGATTTGTTTCCTCCTGCTTTGTCGGTGCACACTGATGACCATTCAGCCATAGCATGTGTATTATAAATAACCAGCAGGACTTCATGTTCTCTCTGTTAAAGAAGCAGGTTGATGCAGTTAAATGTCAGCATTTTCGTGATGACTCCCAGATGCCTATGTGCAATAGCTACCAAGTATAATACAAGTGTCATTGTTTTCAACTTTTACTATGGTTTCTGTGATCAGTAATATGCACCTAAATGCTGCTGTTAGTGAAAACACATGAAGAAGCCTGACATCATTTCTAATGTATCAATTCAGACTAGCTAGACAATTCTGCTGAGTTTACCCAGTGGTATAACAGAATTGGGACATATATCTATAAAACTGGGAGCTTATGCAACTTAATCTGCCTCTTTTCTACGTTGTGAAATGCACATAAATACTGATCTCGTACTAAATAACTTTCGCTCTTTCCGTTAGTTCATGATATGAATGTATACATACTAGACATTAATGCAAAATTTATAAAAGAAAATTTCTAGAATGTTGTCCCTTTCCACATCTCCAAACGTGTGACTCGTTTCATTATCTTTCAAAACAATACTTAATATAGTAAAGGCAACAATAGGTGTGCCAAGAAATTGGCAAACAAATCGATTCTATAAATAAACACATCAGCAAGTGGAAGAAATTCCTACAAATAAAGGAAATAAATGCCATTTGCTTTATTTCCCTCCCAAGAGCAGGTAGATGAGAAAGGTTTATATTTTAGAAATCACGCAATTACACTTTATAGTTCTCATCGGATTAAGTGACTCATTACTCATTAGCCTGTATAGCCTTCTTGAAGACACAGTTATCAGTTGCAAACGTGTATGTAAATTAAGAGCCTGGATTTATGTAGAAACTAGATTTACTTCTATATTTACTTGCACGTTGTACTTCTACATGTATAGCAAAAAAAAAAATCAACTTTGTAAAAAAATACAAACCAATTACCAAAGAAAAGTAAAAAACCAATATATTTACCATTAATACTGAAACACCTCCTCTGTAAAATTGTTCCCAGCGTCAGGAAGGAATCAGACTGTGTTCTGATCTAATTGCTATGAGTGTCAGGGATTTTACCATGTTCTACTTATCTGATGACAAGGTACTTAATCCTATTAATGGGACATTTTGTCATTAGGCTAAAGGATTTCGGAGTGTATGGGACTTCCTACTCATCCGTATAAGCAAAACCGCTAGGGGGAGTGTTGGACATTATTACATAATGGAATGTCATATGGATTTGTTATTTTTCTGTAGTCAGTAGCCTTTTTTCTTCATAGGACTTCAATCATCTTGATTTTTACCTTAGCAGACGACTGCAGCTTATGTTCTTAGGGAAATTCTTACAATTGGTTTGGCTAAAATTAGCTTCCAACATTTAATCTCTTCAGTGTAATTTTAATTTGCTATAAAAAAACTGGATTACATAACAACCTTCTTCATGTACCTTCTGAAGATATGGAAAAGAATTCAGGAATCCAGATACAGGCCTGCATATGAATAGAGTCTGAAATGAACTAAGGAAATCTTGGTACTTTATGCATTATTAAACTTGTTACTGTTTTGGGGTTTTGCCCCCTTAATGATTTTCTTCAGTTAATCCATGTGTATGCATGCAATATGTCTGAAATCTGAACTTGCATGAATTTTTAGATCCTGTGAAATGAAATATTTTAATAATAACAAATGCCTTATGTAAAATATGCACAAGTATCATTAGCAGGTCATATCCCACCTTGTGACGTTCAGCAATAATACCCCCTTGATATCAAAGAGAAGACAGCAAAAGTATATGTCTGTAGCTCCTGGTTTGTAACGCTCATTTTAAAATATCCTATTTTTTTTTGTTTATGTTATTGTTCATAAGGACTAATTGATTATTGATGGTTAAGATCCAACGCAAGTCCTCAACCCCTTTTGAAAATCCAGTTTGATAGATACAAATTAAGATACCTCTACTCTCCTTTTCTGAAAATGATGGGAGGGGGGGGGAATATTTTTTTTTTTTTTTTTGATATGTATGAATTGCTGGTTTACTGAAATATTGCTAGCTTCTTGACCGAGATTAATTAGTACACAAAAACTTTCAAGTTCTCTTTTTGCGAGAATACCGAGAAAAGAGCCCTCGCAGACTTTGCAATCCATTGGCCGGGAGCAGCCCTAACAGACTTATCTGTTAAGCCACTCTGGGGCTTTGGCTGAAATAAAAGGGGAAATCTCTCTTGCTGACGCTGCCTGGGCCTTATGCTTGGCTCAAGATGCACAGTAAATGGAAAATATATTTGTAAAAAAGAAGAGAATTTGGAACAGACACTTCTGAAATGCATATGATTAGCCTACATGTGTAATGAATCCTAACAGACTTCAGTCTTTCACTGCAAGGGTTTGTCTCCTCGTTTTTGACATTTATCTTTGCTAATGTTCTGGTTACAGCTGGCCTTTCTGGACCTGACTCTAACTGGAAAAAGCTTTAATCAATCCAGAGTAAAACAGGCATGTTCAGCCTATTACCCAAAGCTCACAGCAATTTGCAAGAAAAGAACTGGCCTCAACCGTGCAAGGAGAAAGGACAACATTTCCTACCAAAGGGTGGAGTAGCTGGAGGCTTCCTCAAGCACAGATCCCATTGCTTGTTTTCAGAATTGCCCTCCTTCTAAAAGCCTGAGTGGGTCTATAGTCAAACATGCTGATGCACCTTGCAAAGTTAGTCCTCAAGGAAAGTCTGTACTGAGGCTAATGCAATGCTGAGACATGAAATCCTGGTATATGTCAGGCTCCTTTTCTCGGGTTAATCAATTTTGACCATTGTAAAGTGTTTTGCATTGTCTTCGATGCTATTCCTCAGACTATAATCACTATGTAACCATATGGAAAGAGGCATTATTATATTTATTTTTACAAGAACATCAAATCCTAGTTCTTTGCTGTCTTGTTATTTTAGATATATCCAATGGACGGAAGAAGTGGTGTAAGGAATCCAGGAAATTTCAACCTGAGGATGAAATTGTCTAGAGCCAGTATGCCTGCTAAAGTTAATCTTGGGCTTAAATTTACCCTTTAAGTGTACTTAAGAACTTAGCACTCTGCCCTTGAGAGGTAATTGTTGGTAGCGCTCACTCTGGAAATCTTTTTCTCACTCATTTCTGTTCTGAATTTAATTTAACAATATTCTCACAAATTAGACTTGCAGGTTTCGTGTCAAATATCCGCTTTATTTTCTTTTAAAATTTCAAATCTGATCTGCAATGACATATTGTAGATGCTTTCAGTATTTCTGTCAGCTGCCATGTTCAGCGGTTTCCTCTTAAAACATTATTTTCCTCTGAATTTGAGTGGTTTGATCATCTATAGTACGCCATTTCACTACATTATTGTATTGTCATCTTCATTTTTTCACCATGTAATACAAGCAGCAAATTCCGTGCTTACTATTGCTTTTGCAAACGATGAGACAGTCTTGTAACATTTACTCTTACTGGAGATGGTCTGAAGAAGCTCTTGTGAGAGGGTTATAGAATGTGTCCTTCCTCCTCTGCAACTGTTACTCCAATACTGCTATATTTTTATTGAAAAAAAATATATATATAATGTATAAGTTGGAAGAAATTGTGGAAACAGTTTGAAAATGATTTCAGTAAAATAGGCCTTTGGGAAGATACTGATAAATTCAAACTGAAATAATTGTAATGGTTGAGATACACATTAAGCCTTTAACCTAAGTGAACTTCAGTGATGGGAGTTGTAGCTGGCCTGTGGAGTTTCCTGCCGTCCCATTGGATGACCTCCCCAAATGTATAACTCTTTTTGTACTGTGACTTCTCCCTTTTTGTTGATCCATTCCACCTGGCCGGATTAAGAATCAAGAAATATGCTGAAATGGAATTTCCTGTGTTATACATCAGCTGTAGGATTTTTTCCAGTTATATGTTTATATAATTATTTGCTGTTTGAAAGAATTGTTTCCTACGATGCATTTTCACATTTCTGAGATAGGCTAGTCATATAATAATCAGGCTGAAAATACCTATACATATTTACAGACGCTGTGAGTCATGCAGTGCTATATATTGACATTAAATCTCTTAATACTTTATGAAATAGTCCCCAGTTCTACAGAATCTTAATTAGTTTTATTCATAAGCACATCACTAGTTCCTCTACTTTCAATTGAAATTAAATCCTAGCGGTGGTTTATTGTGTGGGGGTTTATGGCTAATCTTAAGCGTGCACAAAACTTTGCTAACAATTAGTACGGTTCTTAAGGCTATAGGAATTGAAGTTTTATTCCCCTTGAGTGGAAACCCTTGAGTGGTTTCCACTTTCTCTTTCTGTATTTCAAAGGCTATTGGAGCCCTCCTTCAGTTTGTATTCAGTCTGTCTCTGAGCTTTACCTGAGTAGCAGATGGTAGGAACCAAGGCTCCTTCTTTAGTCTGGAGAGACAAGCTTTCAAGATGCTCTGAATCGTGCTGGAAGACCTATGAATAAGGACCTTAGGTAACCTAAGTTAGATAGCTAGAGTTAGTCTAAGCTACATACCATACGAAAGAGAGAAAACTAATTGTAGTTGGGCTGGTACGTTCACAGAGAGTTGTGCAGCAGCATGCAAAGATAACAGCTGAGGTCTCAAAAGTAACACAGCTGTGTTAGCATGACACCATACCAAAGTTCACAAGCCCTGCATCTCAGTGCCAAGCTGATAAAATTATACAGTCTGGAGGTAGGTCAGGCAATGCCAGATCAGAGTTGTCTGTGCTGTGCTCCACACAAACATTAAACCCACTGAAAGCATGAAGCCAGTGTGCATAACTTATAGCCCCACGCTGAGATTTAACAAGCCTTTATTTAGAACTATTAAACTACAGCGTTTCAGGTTAGACAAACCATCTTCACAAGGCTTAACATGCTTTAAAATGTATGACCCTTTTCTGATTTTCTTTTGCTTTTCTCATGCATGAGTGTCTCATGCATGGACACTCAGGAAGCCTGTTAAGTGTGGAAGAAATCTTCCACTTCTCTCCTGAACTTTTTTGCCCAAGCACTTCAGGGCTTTG